TAAAATAACGAACATCAAACATTCCTCCCACAATCCTCTCTACTCAGCAGGGTTCAATAATTCATTGTAATGACTACACAGAACTCAGAAACCATAGGCATAGTTATGGGCTTATTGGGGAAATTAACAGGTTATAATTCAGGGTCAGAAATGTTCATGGTACAGTTCTTTTTGGGCGGTGGGTGGGTAGGAGGGTTAAGGTTGGGTCTAGATTAGGCCTAGGATTTTGTGTATTGTTAGGGTTATGGTTAGGCCTAGGGTTAGTGTTAAGGGTAAAACTTAGTCTAGTTTTAGAGGTGGTTGTCAAATCAGTTCTGACTCATAACAACCCAGTATAGGGTTTCCAGGAGTCCTGATGTGGCATTGTAGGATAATGTACTAGACCGCAAGGTTGGTTGGAACTGCAAGGTCGGCAGTTCAAATTCACCAGTCGTTCCTCAGAAACTCAATACAGGGTCGCTGTGAGTTGGAACGGACTCAACAGCATTTAACAATGACATAGGGTTTATAAGGAGTGGCTGCTGAGTTTGAACTGCTGAACTTCAAGCTCAAATCAACCTTGTAGTCCAGTGTTTATCCTACAGCTCTACACCAGGACTCCTTTTTAGGACTACAGTTCAATTTTTTAAATTTAAATTGTTTTTTTTCCCTTGAAATCTGTTTGATTTCCTCTTTATTTAGAAGTTCTATAATTGCATTGTTGTTGTTAAGTGCCGTCGAGTCGGTTCCGACCCATAGCGACCCTGTACAGGGTTTCCGAGGGTGTAAATCCTTACGGGAGTAGAAAGCCTCATCTTTCTCCCGCGGAGCGGCTGGTAGTTTCGAACCGCTGACCTTAAGGTTCGCAGCCCGATTCGTAACCACTACGCTACCCTCTTTTTACTTTTTTTTGTTGTTGTTGTTGCAACTTTATTTCTGGTTCTGTTTTCAGTTTTATAGGTCTGTTTTACGTTGCATACTTGTATGTCTGGGTTGGAGTTCTGATGTGGTACTGTAGGATAAGCACTGGACTTCTAAGGACAAAGTCAGCAATTCAACTCCACCAGCTGTGCCTTAGAAAGTCTATGCAGGGTCTCTTGAGTCAGAACCAACTCACTGGCTCTTAACAACAACAACATATCTGGGTTGAGTCTAAGTGATTTGTATGTTCATTTCAGGTTGTTGTCTTCTGTTGGTGGTTCTCTGTCCAAAGAATTCTTTCATATTTATTTCTGTTAACCTGGAAATGACCTAATTTTGCTGTTTTATTTGAGGAATAGTTTTGCTGGGTATATGATTCTTAGTTGGTAAGTTTTTCTTTCATTGTTTTATGGATGACATTCCATTGTCTTCTTGCCTGCAAGGTTTCTACTGGGAAATCAGAAATTGGTCTTATATAAGTTTTCCTTTGTAGGTAGCTTTTTGTTTCCTGAGCTGCTCTCAGAATTCTCTCCGTGTTTTTAGTTTTGAAAAGCTTGATTATAAAACATCTTGGTGTTTTTCTTTTGGGGTCTATCCTGTTTGGTGTTCAGTCAATGAATGGCTATCTTCTTTTTGTTTTGTTTTTTAATGTTTTATTGTGAATTATGTGATAGTTTACATGGGAGAACATTAGTTTTACAATCATCCTATCGTATATTTTTTCATTGCCATGGTTGCAATCCCCTCCATGCATCATCAAGCAACCAAAGGGTATACCCTACAAGCCTGCCCCCCAGGCATCAGCACACAGCCCCTCTCTCTCTCTCTGGGTCTAAAGTCCCCAGCCACTCCATCTCTCCATGTCATTGTCACTGCCTCCCATCTCTGGCATCACAGTTTCTCTGGGTAGGGTCCTGCTCTCCGCTCTTCTCCCAGGGACCTCCACTCCTAGACTGAAAAGTTAATCACTCCCCTTCTTGCTACAAAACGTCTACCTTTACATTTCCAACCCTCACAATCAGTCCTGATAACAATTATTCACTATTGTATCATAAGAGACCTATCTGCATTTCATTTCATCAGGAATGGCTCTCTTCTTGTCTTTCATGATGTTGGGGAAGTTTTCTTCCAACAACAGTATTTTTAATGCTGTTTGTTGTTTTATCTCTTCCTTTTCTGGCATTCCTATCATACATGTTATTTCTCTAGCATTGTCTCATATAAATCTTAGACTTCCTTTGGTTTTTTTGTTCTTTTTTTTGATTGTTCCTCTAGTAAATGAATATTGAGAGATCTTTCATCAAGTTCAGTGATTTCTGTTTCCATTGATTCAGTTCTATTTCTGTGCCCTTTCAGTGCATCATCTATTAATGAAGTCTCCGTGTTAATATTTTGACCTTCTAGTTGCTGTTTTTGTATGTTTCCCTTTTTTTTTTTCTTCTTCAATTTTGTCAGTGTGTTTCCTGAACTTTCTGTAGTTTTGTCTGTTTTCCTTAATTTCATCTGTAGTTTTCTCCATCTTTTTCTCAATCTGTCGAAGTTGCCTAATTAGCATTCTTTTAAATTCCTCATCAGTTCCAACACCATTTCTAGTGTCATATTTTCTGAGTTTTTATCTTGGTGACTTGTTTGAGGCACTCTATCTTGTTTCTTTGTGTAAGCTGAAATGGTCTGTTTTCTCCAAGATGTCACGGTGTCATATTAATATTTAGTTGATGATTGTGTATTGGCATATATTCAGGTACTCGCTACCTGTTTCTTGGTGGATGTGGTAGAATACGTAGTGTGACATAGTTCTCTGTCCACTGTTTGTGTAGCATAGTCCAGGGTGTGGTAACACTCTTCCAGACACAGGGGCACTATGCCAAGTGCCTAACCCCAGGTTCTCTGTCCAAAGAATTCTTTCATATTTATTTCTGTAAATCTGGAAATGACCTAATTTTGTTGTTTTATTTAAGGGATAGTTTTTCTTAGTTGGTAAGTTTTTCTTTGTTTTATGGATGCCACTGGCTGTGGCTTGGCAAGGACAAGAACTGGCCATACCTTCTGCTACCAGGAGCAAGGGAGAATTGTACCCCTTTGCCACCAACCTCCAGCCTTGTCCTGTGCTCACAGATTGCTGTATCAACAGCCGCTCATAAAAGTTCAAGATGGCCATGTCATGCCTCACCAGCCCTCAGTCCACCTGTTTTGTTTTGTTTTTCTCTCTCATTGCTCCAATTCAGCTTCTGCTTCCAGTTGCTACTTAATCCACTTCTTTGTCCTGTCCTCTGAGGCTCATGGTTCCAGGGTCACCACCTGTATCTTTTTCACTCTTGTCTCCCATGTCTTTGTTGCATAAGGTTAGCTCAGTTCATCTTGCCCCAGTCTTTTCTCAGCTGTGCTCCTAGGCAGGCCCGTTTCTGACCCTCAGCCTTGCCTCTGCTCTGCTGTGGCAATGTTCCAAAGGTCTTTTAGGGCTGCTAATAAATGCCCACAGGACATGCCACTCTGCCATAGCTTCAGCCTGAATGCACTGGGATTTAGCTCTGTGGGTCAGCAAACTTAGGTCCCTCCAAACTTAGGTCCTGCTCAGCATTCAGCTTTACTTGCTCTGTGGCCTGGGAAGCCCACCGCTCTGTCTTGTGCTCTGGTTCTTGGTTCTGCTGCTGCTGCTGCTTCTCTGCCATTCCTCTGATGTCACAGCTTTCTGTCCCTGGGTCTGGGAGGTGCAGTATGCAAGGATTTCAGGGTCCAAAGGATGTACTCCACAACTTGCTCTTCTTCGATACTATCTGCTTTCTGCTTGGTTCATTTCTACCCTGTAGGAATGCAAAATTAGCCAATCACAGTTAGCATTGTTAACTGTCCTCACAACTGAATCATTTAAGCCATCAGCATCTTCTCCCATCCTTCTTTTACCCAGACCCATCAGGAAAAAGCCATTTGGTGGGAGTTTTAAAAGACTATGACTAGAAGAGACATTCAATCATTTTCTGCACCACAAACACTGTTCCCACTTTCTCTCTGTGTTTCTTCCTCCTTTCCTAACCCTCTGGACTTTGCCTTTTGGTAAACAGTGGCCCTTTGATCTCAAGTGATTGATTATTCTAAGGTGTCCATACTTCCTTAAAGTTGTTATTCTTCTAAGGTTGTTAAGTGCCATTGAGTCAGTCCCAAGTCACATCAATTCGACCCTGTATAGCATTTCTGAGGAGTGGTTGGAACCACCTACCTTGTGGCTAGCAGTCCAGTGCTTATCTTACAATGCCACTTTTGTAAACCTGTCTATTATTTGGCTAAAAATTTGAATTGTGGAGGTGACAGACCTGAAGGTCTTGGGGGTTCCACCAGTTCCTCTGTAACCAGTAAGCTTGGTCTTTTTTTTATGATTTTGAGGTTTATTTCACATTTTCCACTGCTCTATCCAAGACTTTCTAATGTGAGTAATCCCTTTTGGAGCAATTGTTAGTGGTAGCTGGACACCATCTAGTTCTTCTGGTGTCGGGGTCGCGGAGACTGATGTTTGTGTGGTCCATGAATCTGTGGAGTAACTGTTTCCTTACAGCTTTTTATTGTCTTTGTTGTGCTCATGGACTTTCATGACCCCAGTTGGTTGTCATCTTCTTTTTTGAAAACCTTAAGGTCTTCTATTCTGATAGTATTATGTGGTGGTGTGTGTTGGTAGTTGTGTGCCACTGAATTGGTTCCGACTCATAGCAACCCTGCCTAGGGTTTTTGAGGCTGTAAATCTTTACAGGAGCAGAAAGCTTCATCTTTCTCCCTCTGAGCGGCTGGTAGTTTCAAACTGCTGACCTTGAGGTTCTCAGCCCAGCTTGTAATCCACTATGCTGCTGGGGCTCTTTAATCATAAATTATAATACAATTTATTTTAAGCTTTATCCTAATGTGTAATAAAAGATATACCTCTACTATCAGATTCATTGAAAAATAAGCTTTTTTGTGGCTTGCCCTTGGGCGTTGAAATCTTTTGAAACGCATACTGCTAAGAATAGATTGTTATTCTTAATTATCAGTCGAATTGCAGTTCCCTTAAGGGACCATGTTGAAATTTTTTTTTTTTAATTTAGGCGTTCTGAGGCAAAGGTGTCTGCAAAACTATGGATGATATAAGAACTTCGCTTGAAAAAGAATACCCTGATGCTGAGATACAAAAAAACCAAGTATTAACTCTGCAAGATTGGCAAGACAAGTGGGTGAACCACAATATTTCATTTCATCAAGAAGAAGGAGATCCGTAAGAATTATTTGGTGTATCACATGAGTTCACTCTGGAAATAGAAATATTATTTGACTGGTTTGAAGATGTACTCTGTCTCCCCTCACCCACCCCCAACCCCACACACACACATTTTAGCACCTCTGAAATCAGAGTCATGCCATAGTGAAATTCCTAGTGATTTTCATCCACTGTGTATGAGTAATGGTGTGATTTACAGTTGCTGGCTTCTCGTTCGGATGGAATAATGAATGTCTTTTATTTAATCCCCATATAAAGTCCTAGTGGAGCGCTGTGGGTTAATGGCGCTGGACTACAAGGTTGGTTTGAACCACATGGTCAGTGGTTCAAGCTCATCAGCTGCTCCTTGGAAACCCTATACAGGGTCGCTATGTGTCGTGATGACTTGATGGCACCTAACAATAACAGCAGCAAGCATCTGTTCGTCATGCATTTAGACACATGTGTACGGCAGATGCTCAGGCCCCATTGATGCTGACTACGACTGTTCTTTATACCGAAAGTGGTGATGCTTCAGCTTTGCTTCCCGTAGCACAGGCTGAGATATTAAAGGACTCTGTCTAGGTGATGGAGGATGAGAAGTTGAGAGAAAATGGTCATTGAGCTAGGACTTTAAGCAGTATGTAGTCGTTGTCTTTGTAGCAGCAACAGTAAGGCATGGGGCCAATGCAGGGTCAGCTGATCCTTACAGACTTTCCTTGTTCCAAACAGGCCTCCCCAACTTCCAGGGGACATAATTAATAACATTCGCACACTAAGCCATAGTTGGTGCATCTTAGCCAAACCTCATTTCAAGGTTGCCTTTCTCAGATGTATGACTTTAGAAGAGCCGCATTTCTTCAGAAAGAACTAATTATAAGAACTAACACTCTTCAGAGCTGCCTTGGAAACCTGAGGATACTTTTTGAGAACTTACCTTCAAGTGAACATTGAAAAAACTCGCCAGTCTAGTGGTCCCATCCCTATACCCCTCTACCCCACAAAGTACACATTTGGGGAATTAAGAATTTTTAAGATATATCATTAATCAAGAAAAATGTGTTTTATTTTGAAGTGCTAATCAGGACAGCTGTGGGTTGGATCAGTTTTAGCCACTTGCTGACTGTGTGATTTTCAGTTACTCAACTTTCTTGTTTCTTCGTCTATAAACTGGGGATTATAATACTTAATATTATCTGTTTCTTAAGGTTGTTGGAGTACCAAGGAAGTCATACACAAAAAGTACTTGGTACAGGCAGTAGGGCTATTTCCCCTGTGCTCTGGGCTTATTAACCAAAAAAGCTAACCTTAAATTTTTTTTATTCCTCCCAGACTATTAAAGAAGCATTTGGATACTTTTCTTAGCGGCGGGAATGGACTCAGAGTATTTTTCCCTCTTTGTGGCAAAGCAGTTGAGATGAGATGGTACGAGCAGATAAGTATTAACACACTTTCTCTCCTTGATGATGAATTATTTGGGTGAATATTTAGCAGAATATAAGGTAAGACATTCTATCCTGAGAGATGAATGGGGATTCTTTGTTTTCACTAGACAATTACTGATGAAAGGGGCCCTGGCCATGCAGTGGTTAAACACTGGAATGCTAGCAAAAAGTCGGCTGTTCAAACCCACCAGCCACTCCTCAAGAGAAAGATGTGGCAGTCTGCTTCCGTAAAACTTTATGATCTTGCACACAAGAACACCCAAACTTGTAAATAGTACCCATTAGACCTAGCTTTGATGGCTTGATGATCAGAACTCGACTAGAAGAAGATTTAAAAAAAAAAAAAAAAAAGGTTTTCATAAAGGAAACAAGTGTAAATTGCTACAGTTTGATGAATGTACTATCTCAAAATACCAAGTGAGAGGGAAGGAGTGTTCACATCAGATATCAATCCTATCCTCTCTGTATACAGGATTGATAGGGATGAGCAATGTAGACATTGGCTACCTAAAATAGGGTGGGAGTGGGGCAATAAAGGCATGAAGTGACTGGCTTACAAGTTTTCAAGAGGGAGTTTATAGTTTCAGAGTATGTGAGAGAAGGAAGAGTCCCCACTCAACTGAATAGTTTTCTTCTTGTCTAGTTGGGTCTAGTCAAAAGAGATGGGATATGATTCTTAAGATTCAATAGTTAATAATTGTTACCATGAACTAACTGCGACTGTCACAATTGTAAAGGTAGAAGTTTTGTAACAAAATGGGGGGAGTAGTTAATCTTACAGTCTAGAAACCGAGGACCCCAGGACCATCAAGAGAGAAAAGCACAATCAGAGTGTGGGACCCTATCCAGAGAAGCAGTGACACCAGAGATGGAGGACATGGTGAAAGAGAGAGCAGCTGAGGACTCTGAACTCTTGGAAAGAGAGGGACTGTTACTGGTGGCTAGGAAGCAGGCTTGCAGAATGTGCGTTTTAGTTGTTTAAATTTTTATATATTCCTAGTGTTTTCTGTATACATCCACCCCCCAACAAAACAAAACAGGAAATGGAAGCAAATACTGTTGAATGATGATGCACGGAGGAGATTGTGATCATTGCAATGAAACGATGAGTGTAAAACCAGTGTTCTCCCATGTAAACTATCACTATCACTCAGTTCACAATAAAAATTTTAAAAAACAAACCAAAAACTTTATGGTCTTGGAAACTCTAAACAGCAGTTCCCCTCTGTCCTATGAGGTCACTGTGAATCAGAATCAGCTTGACAACAGTGGGTTTAGCTTCTGTTTTGTTTTATTCATGATGGAAGGTAATAAAACCACACAGTGGTTACATACTCAGCTGCTAACTGAAAAGTTGGTGGTTCAAACCCTCTAGCTGCTTTGAGAGAGAAAACTGTGGCCATCTATTTCTATAAAGATGACAACCTTGGAAACCCTGCTGGGCAGTTCTATTGTGTCCTCTCGGTCACTATGAGTTGGAATCGACTCAGTGACTCAATTAGCGGTGAGTGTTTAATTAGAGATCATATTCTTAATGAGTAAGACAAGGAGCAGAAACAGAAGTAAATGAATTCCTTTAGAACCCAAAGGGAAGAAAACCAACCTTCCCTCTTCGATCTTTATGTGTGCTTTAGTATTTGTTGGAAGCTTAAGAACGTATCTAAATGAATTTTAACTATCTGACATGGGGGCAGGGGTACTGAAAAATTCAAAATGAGTGACAACTTTAAGTCTAGACAGTAGCCCACAGTTCACCTCAACTCCCTGCACCACCACATTGATGATTTTGTTATCATGATCATTGTTATAAAACTACTACAGAACATATTTCTTATGCATAAATCTCCATGAAAAGAACGCACTATAATTAACAAGCTACTATGGCTATTGTTGTTGTGTGCCATTGAGTCGGTTCTGACTCATAACCGCCCTGAGAGAGGCTATTGGATTTGAACTGCTGACCTTGAGGATAACAGTCTAGTGCTTATCCTACAGAGCCACACCTGGGCTCACTCTGACTATGGGCTTCCTAAAAACTAACACACCTAACTTTTGACATCCTCCACTCATGACTCTTCTTTTCTTGATGTTAGTAAGCTTCCCCCTTTCTACTTCTGAGATGGCTCATGATAGTATACCTGGACTACCTTAAATACTAAGACAGAATATTCATTTTTTTTTAATGCTTTATCGTGAATTATGTGATAGTTCACGTGGGAGGACATCAGCTTCACATTGATCCCGTCACACATCGTTTCCTTGCCATGGTCACAGTCCCCTCCATGCATCATCGACCAACCAAAGGGTACACCCTGCAAGTCTGCCCCTTGTCATCCACACACTGCCCCTCTCCCTCTCTGGGTCCAAAGTCTCCAGCCGTTCCATCTCCCCATGTCATCGTCTCTGCCTCCATCCCTGACATCTCTGCTTCTCTGGGTAGAGTTCCGTTCTCTGCTCTTCTCCTTCAGTGGTCCCAGGGACCTCTGTTCCTAGACTCTAAGGTTAATCACTCCCCTCCGTTTGCCCCAAAATGTCCACCTTTACATTTCCAGCCTTTACAATCAGTCCTGAAAACAATTATTTGCTATTGTATTACAATACAATAGCAAGTAATGTTTACATGCAATTAACAACACAACATACCTATTACCTACACAAGGGCACACACTATTAATATGATCAGAACATGGACTATTTGTATAAAGTATATTAATAACACATCATTCATATTTTCTATGAAAATGTATAAGTGAACATATGAGAGGGCTTCAAAAACTTCATGGAAAAATCCCATTGTCTTTATTTTTCTCTTCTTTTTCCCCATTACCTCTCAATTTCATTTTCTCACAAATTTTTGAAGCCCCCTCATATAATAAACATACTTTTATTCTCTATATGTCTGCATAGGCCTCAATATACAGATGAGTTACATAAATGAAGCATCTATAGTATAACAAACTTGCATGCAAATTCCTAGGTGGAACAAATGGTTTGTGCTGACCTCCTAACCAAAAGGTTGGCAGTTCAAACCTACCCAGATGTGCTGTGCAAGAAAGCCTGGTGATCAACTTTTGTAAAGATTACAGCCGAGGAAACCCTATGGCCCAGTTCTATTTAAACAGAATTGACCTAACAGCAACTAGTAACTAAGTTTAGATGCAAAATATTCAACAATCACATTAGCATGTTGTTGTCTCAGACTTGTTGCAATCAAGTCAGTTACAACTCATAGAGACCCTATATAGGGTTTCCGAGGAGCAGCTGGTGAGTTTGAACTGCTGACCTTGCTATATATATATATATTAATGTTTTATTGTGAGTTATGTAATAGTTTACATGGGAGAACATTAGTTTTACATTCATTCTATATCGTCTCATTGCCATGGTTACAATCCCCTCCATGTATCATCAGCCAACCTAAGGGTATACCCTGCAAGCCTGCACCCAAGTCATCAGCACACAGCCCCTCTCCGTCTCTGGATCTAGAGTCCCCAGCTGCTCCATCTCTCCATGTCATCATCTCTGCCTCCATCTCTGGTGTCACTGCTTCTCTGGGTAGGGTCCGCTCTCTGTCTTCTCCACTGATGGTCCCAGGGACCTCCGCTCCTAGACTGTAAGGTTAATCACTCCCCTCCTTGCTATAAAGTGTCTAACTTTACATTTCCAACCCTCAGTCAGTCCTGATAACAATTATTCACTATTGTATTACAAGAGACCTATCTACATTTCATTTAATCAGCCCCGCCTAGACAGATTAGATACTACTCACTGGAGATTCTACCTTCCCCCATGCCCTCTGGATCTAGGTTCCCTCTTGAAATCTTGTAAGCAGTCACTTCTTGCCTTTGTATCTACCCCCCACCCTCCCATTTTGGGTAGCCAATGTCCAAGTTGACCATCCCTGTCTACTCTGTGTGTGGAGGGGGTAGGAATGATCCTTGCTGTAAAGATTTGTTCCTTCTTTTGAGCTGCTACATCCATAGGTATAGGTCAAGTTCATCAAATTGTATCAAATTACTCTTTTTTTCTTCTTCTTTATTCTTCTAGTTGAGCTCTGATCATTCAGTCATTGAAGCCGGTCAAGTGGGTATTATCTTCATGTATGGGTGTTCTTGTACATATGCTCTCTCATCTTAAGAGCTGGACGCTTCACTCTCCACTCTAGTCCTCTGTGGCTATGTCACTGACTCTGGGCCCAAGAGTCCCCAGGTCTTGCCGCACTGCTGGCCAACCTGGTCTCCACCCAGGTTCACAGAGTCTATTGAATGTTGTAGGGCTTAGCTCGCCACTTCATTGCTGTTTTTCCTCACTTCCTCTTACCGGTAATGAGCGTGGTCACCAATCAGAGCGTGTATTCCCATTGAGTCTTAGTCTTGGAAGGGGGTTTGTACTGAGGGGACCCAACCACTTGCCTTGATATCTCCTGGGCAAGCAACTTGCTTTTTCTTAAAACAGTCAGTCTACCTCTGCTGTTTTGTATTTTTCCTGCAGGTCTTTCTTTCAAGAAGTATCTTCTGCTCTCCTAGCCGCTCCAAGCTGGGCTGCTCGTCCTTTCAAGTGGAAATTTTCCATCTCTGAAGATCTGGATGTGGTTCAGACTTCCACCTATAATCTTATTTACATATATTTTTCTTTCATGTTCTTTCTTATGACTCAGTGAGCTGGTTAAGGTAGGCGTCTAACAGCTTGGCTTACATTTTCACAGGCTTCTGGCACAGGACAATCTTAAGCCACACACACCATCTAACAAATGTTCTCAACTACAAGTTGATAGAGTGTGGGCTGGCTACAAACATGTCAGTGTCTTCATTGAAAACTAACTCCCAATTGATCACATTCAGAGCATTTCAAAGTTATATTTACTACTTTGACTTTCTGTTTCATGATGAAAGTTCTTAATATTAAAATTTAAAAATGAATACTCTGATCTAGCTGATAAGAATAGAGGGCACATGCATAAGTACACCCACACTTGCAGATAATACCCACTTGACCTGGCCACAACGGCTGGCTAATCAGAGCTCAAACAGAAGAAGAAAGAAGAGGGAAAAAAAAGAAGAATTTGACACAATTTGACAAACTTGACACACACCTATGAAAGCAATAGCTCAAAAAAGTGAACAGATCTTCACAGCAAGGATCTTTCCTACCTCCACCGCACAGAGAGTACAGGGATGGGCAACTTGGACATTGGCTACCCAGAATGCAGTGGGGGGAGGGGGACTACAGAGGTAAGAAGTGACTGGCTACTAGCTTTCAAGAGGGAACCTAGATTGAGAGGGCTTGTATGATCAGACAGCCTTCTCTTAGCTGTGATCTCAGGCACGGCCTCTCTCGGATCCTTGCTCTCTCAACCACTAAGTCCCTTGGCTTCTGCCCTGCTTAAACAAGTGTTACAAAGCATTTCTGACTCTTCCAATAAATGCCCAAAAGGCACTCTATTCTGCCAGTAAGCTTCAGCCTGAAGACAATCAGCTCTAGCTTAGTGAGTCAGCAAATATAGTATCCCAAATAAATGCCCAAGAGACACCCACTCCTCAAGCCTCCCACTTACAGGCACTCAGCTTGCTTGTTCCATGAGCTCTTTCGCGTGTTCTAGGTTCTGCTGCCTCTGTTTCTTTGCCTCTTTTCTGCCTTCTCTGGTGTTGTAGCTCTCTGTGTCCTGAATCAAGGAGCTTTGGGTTAGGGGTCTCAGTGTCCTTTTGACATCTTCCAGTCATGACTCTTCTTTTCTTGATGTTAGTAAGATTCCCCCTTTCTACTTCTGAGATGGCTCATTTTAAATCTAGTGAGATGGTAAAACTGATCAATACCCATGTTATGGTTCCATGTATCCTATTTGCATGATCCCAGACTATATAGGTGCGTGTCCCCTATTTACATTATTAGCAAGCAAGCTATCCAGTCCCATTGGTGGGCCTCAAACACCTCATTTGCATAGTCCTACCTTGTGTGGCACTATGGTTTAATGAGCTGGACTGCATAGGGTTTGAACTACAAGGTCAGCAGTTCAAGCTCACTAGCTACTCCTCAGAAACCCTATACTGGGCTGGAACCGACTCGACAGCACTTAATAACAACACCCACCCAGACATTTGATGGGAGACACAAAGCCTATGGCTAGAAAAATCGTATCAAATAATTCACTGCAGCACAGCTGGGTTTAGAGAAGGCACTCTGGTGGCTTCTGAATCATGCATCTTTTTGTTCTTTTTTTTTTAATTGTGGTTTGGGTAAAACTTTACAGAGCAAATTCATTTTCCACTCAACAATTCATACATCTTTTGTTTTGTGACAGTCACAATCCCCTCTGTGTAATAGCATTCTTCTTGCTGCTTCACTGGTTTCCCTGTTTCTATCTGTCCTATACGACTTGTCTTGAAATGGAAATGTGTTCTAACTTGATTGATGTGTTAGGAAATAATTTGAGCATGACAGGAACTTCACATTTGTGGTGTGTGATTTCATCAACCAGAAGCATGAAGCGAATGCAGATACTGTACCCAGATAGTCCTCCTTCCATAGATAGTCCTACGTTTCATAGTCAGTCCAGTCACTGCTCATGAATGACTCCTTCCGTAAGCAGACTTCAAGTATTTTTAAGATAAAGTGCCACATTTGGTATTTATGTATTACAAGGGTGCCCTGGTGAAGTGGTGGATTAAGCAATGGGCTACTATAATCACAAGGTCAGTAGTATAAACTCACCAGCTTCTCCTCGGAAGAAAGATGAGTCTTTCTGCTCCCACAAAGATTTACAGCCTCAGAAACCCTTTGAAGTTGTTTTATTCTACCTTGTAATGTAGAGTCGCTTTGAGTTGGGATTCACTCAAAGGCATTTGGTTTGGCTTGATTTTTTGTTTGTTTGTTGGGGTGTTTTGTTGTTATTGTTTGCTTCTAGAAATCTCCTAGGTGATGCAAATAGTTAAGCATTAACCTGCTAACCAAAAAGTTGAAGGTTTGAATCTACCTAGAGGCACCTTTGAAGAAAGGTCTAGCAATCTACTTCTGAAACATGAGGCTTTGGGGAAATCTGTGGAGCACAGTTCTACTCTGACTGTGAATTGGAGTAGATCGGATGGCCACTGGTTTTACATGTTACTTTTTCACACCTTGCTTAACCATGTAACGTGTAAAAGCATTTTTATTAGGTTCTTTTTTCTTTTTTTCTTCTAATGTGTCACTGACAGTTTGAATGTTGTGCTCTAACTTCATTATGGCTGTTAGTGCCTTCAAGTCAGTTCTGACTCATTGAGACCCTGGATAGGAATTCTGAGGTTACAGATCTTTGCGAAAGCAGAAAGCTTCATCTTTCTCCTGCAAAGCAGCTAGTAGATTCAAACCACCATCCTTGTGGTTGGTCCACAGTCCACTGCTTAGCCTACAGAGCCACCATGCTCTTGTTTTCCTTAAACATTAATGATTTTTATTGCATGAATTTACACAATGTAGTGATTATTAGGAAAGCATATGTAGCATTCGATGAGAACTGACCATATGTTTTTATTTAATTTGACACCGTTGCTATGCTTATATGTTTGTGTCATTAGAACTGTGTGCTCTTGAGTCCATGGCCCCTGCCCTCCCCAAGAATATGAATTCTCTGATTACAAAGCTTACCAGGAAAATACGAGTTGTTTGTATATGATAATAAAATAAGTTTTTGGGCTCTGTTTATCGTAAGTAAGTGGAAACATTTTTTTAAAATATTATGGAAATAGTTGTTAATGTTGTAAAGCCTTGCATTCTAATATAGTAGCTACCAGGTACATGTGACTAGTTATATTTAAATTAATTAAAATTAGATCAAATCAAAAATTTTATGTTTCTCAGTTGCACAAGCTTGAGCACCATTCCTCCAATACACAATATGTTCATTGGCTGCTGTATTAGACAGACATTCCCACCATCACAGAGAGTTCTATTGGATAGCACTGTTGTAGAGAAGTCAGAAGGATGTGTTATCCAGAGACGTGTTTATATCAGAGAATCCTCTAGTCAAATCCACTGATAGTAAACCAGCATTTAAAGAAAAACATTTTTTTCAAATTTAAAATATTTTGCTAAGGGTCAAAAAAAGTAGCCCTTCACAATTCCACATAAAGTAAGGTTTGTTTTCCTACATGTTCTATGAAACCCCCTGAACCTGAATTCATATACATTCCTTTAATGCAAAGAAAACACGTGCTAACTGAAGCATACCTCTTTAGTTATTAGTACTGTATTTGAAATTAGAATGTAAGTCTAAACATATGATCTTATGCAGGTTTGCAGACTTGGGACATAGTGTCGTTGGTGTGGAAATCAGTGAACTTGGAATACGGGAATTTTTTACAGATCAGAATCTCTCTTACTCAGAAGAGCCAGTCACTGAAATCCCTGGAGCCAAAGTATTTAAGGTTTGTTATGTTTTGTTCAATCAATTGTTTCTAGGCATTTTTCTCACCCTGCATAAATGGGGGTACTAAACAGGTGTCATAAATCTCCTTTATCACACAGAATATAGTGTATGAAGTTGGCCTTATATGAATGATGCATAGATGTGGCTACACGCAGGCAAGTCAGAAAGTATTGCTGCAAAACCATAGACATGTCTATTAAATAAAAATATCACAATATGATCTGTTGCTCATTGACATCTCCTCCATCCAGGTCTCCAGACTTCTCAAGGCCATGTTTCCATCCCTCTAACCCTTCCCAGAAGAATTCTGTGTTCTTTTGTTTACACCACATCAAAACAGTAGTTTTGGCATCCCCAAGGGACTCAAATCGTGTTCCTATGAAATATTCTCTGAGTTTGGGGAACAAAAAGAAGTCTGAAGGGGGAAAATCAGGGCTGTAGGGTGGATGGAAAGGAGCTCTGGTAGCGCTAGCGTAGTGGTTACGAACCTGGCTGTGGACCGCAACTGTTCAGCGGGAGAAAGATGAGCTGTTCAGCTCTCGTAAAGATTTACAGCCTTGGAAACCCTATACAGGGTCACTGTGGGTTGGAACTGACTCCACGGCACACAGCCACCACCAGGGTGGATGGAAGGAGCTCTGGTAGTGTAATGATTACAAATCTGGCTGCTAACCTCAAGGTCAGCAGTTTGAAACTATCAGCTGCTCCATGGGAGAAAGATGAGGCTTTGTGTTCCCGGAAAGATTTACAGCCTCGGAAATAATATGTACAGGGTTGCTATGAATCGGAACCGACTCCACGGCCCACCGCCACCACCAGGGTGGATGGAGTAAGGTTTCTCAATGGAATTCTCCTAGGACAATTCTTGATACCCATAAAGAATGAGCAGGTACATTGTCGTGACAGAAAAAAAAATTCCTCGGCACAACTTTCCTGGCCTTTTTCTCACCAATGCAGTTTTCAATTTTCTGGAAACTTCTTTCTAATAATTCCTTGTGATCATCTTGTGTCCTTTGAGGAAATATATCAAGATTACTGTTTTGGAATCCCCAAAACACAGTCATTATAGCTTTCTGAGGTGACTTGTCTGCCTTGAATTTAACTAGCCCAGCAGATCCCTTTGGAAGTCATGGTTTTGATTGCACTTTTTTTTTTTTTTTAAGACACTCTGATGAGACTAAGACAAGGATATTACTGAGAGAACTTGTCTGTAGCCAGCCACAGATCTCAGAGACATGTTTAAATATAGTTTGTTTGGAATAAACTGTGCACATGTGAACTGGAACCCTAATAGCAATATTTTTTGACTTACCCTCTCGTGTGTGCTTTCTTATGTGTATGATTTTATATATATGGAGTTCTCGTGTGGCACAGTAGGATAAGCACTGTGTTGGCTTGAACCACATGGTTGGTAGTTATTGAAACTCACCAGCCACTCCTCAGAAACCCTATACAGGGTCGCTATGAATTAGAACCAATTCAACGGCACTTAACAACAATATATATATGCTGAGACCAAAGACTGTTAGTACTCCTGTTATTATTGTTGTTGTTGTGTGTTTTCCATTTATTAACCTGCATTTTCTGAGAACTGTTCTTAAGCCAGACTCTGCAGAAGACAATGAAGAAATAAAGATAATCTGGTTTCTGCCTTAACGAATCTCTAAACATAGGAGAGACTAGAACAGGAGAAAGCCATTTGTGACACATGGAACTAAGTGTAATAACATTGGGCCTTTTAGGCACAAGGAAGAGTTACCTAAGCCAATCTGGGAGGGCTTTCTGGAATATGGGAACAGAGGAGGCTGGAGACACACAAGGTCAGATCTGCAGCTTGAGGTGTCCCGTGAAGCATATTTATCATTCTGTGCACTGAGGTTTTAAGTAGGAGTGTGATGTGGCCAGCATTTTTTTTTTTTTTTTAGAAAAAACATTCTTGTGACATCATGCATGGGAAGTAACTTTGAAGGCAGTAACTTTTTAGCCTCAAGGCATCGCTCGGTGGTTTCAGTGGTTAATGCACTCTGCTGCTGACTGAAAAGTTGGAGATTTGAGTCCACTCAGGTATCTCGGAAGAAAAACCTAGGGATCTGTTTCCAAATATCAGTCAGTGTAAACCATATGGAGCACAGTTGTACTCCATGACTTGGAGTTGGGGTCTGCTTGATAGCAACCAGTATGGTATGATATAGTCTAGAAAAAGAGGAAGACCCCCAGAGAGATGGATTGACAAAGTGGCAGCATCAATGGGCTCAAGTGTGGCAACAATTGTGAGGTTGGCCCAGGATCAGGCAGTGTTTCATTCTGTTGTACATAGGGTTGCTATGAGTCGGTACCAACTCGATGGCACCTAACAACAACAACTATGGTATAGTGTGATGTAGTATAGTGTGGTCTGATCTGGTATGCTGTGGTATAGTATGGTATGCTGTGTTGTGGTATGGTATGCTTCAGTATACTATCATGTGGTGTGGTATGGTATGTGTGATATGGTGTGTGGTGTGGTATGCTATGCTATGGTGTGGTGTGGTCGGGTGTGGCATGGTGTGGTCTGATATGGTATGGTATGGTGTTGTGTACTATGATTTGGTGTAATATGGTATGGTGTGGCATGGTATGGAGTAGTATGGTGTGGTGTAGTATGCTAGCGTGTGATGTGTTGTTTAGTATGATATGTTATGTGTGGCACAGTATAAGGTAGTTATGGTATGGTGTAGTATGGTTTAGTATGTATGATATGTGTGTGGTATGGTATAGGGTAGTATTGTTTATTGTTGTTGTTAAGTGCTATTGAGTTGGTTCCGACCCATAGCCCGCCCATATATACGGTTTCTGAGGGGCAGCTGATGAGCTTGAACCCCCAACTTTATGGTTCACACCAACTTTGCAGTCCAGCACATTAATCCACAGTACCACACCAGGACTCCATGGGGTAGTATGGTATGGTGTAATGTGGCGTGGTGTGGTATGATAAGGTGTGGTGTGATAATGTGTAGCATGGTTTCATATGGTGTGATATGGTGTGTGTGGTGTAGTACAGGGTAGTATGGTATGGCGTGATATGATGTAGTGTGTATGGTTTAGTATAGTGTGATATGGTGGGTGTGATATGGAATAGGGTAGTATGGTATGGCGTGATATGGTGTAGTGTGTATGATTTAGTATGGTGTGATATGGTGTGTGTGGTATGGAATAGTGTAGTATGGTATGGGGTGATATGGTATGGTGTACATGCCCGTAGTGCATTTGATATGTATATGCATGCAGTGTATATATGTACATGTATGTAGTGTGTGTGGTATGTATATGTATGTAGTGTATATGGTATGTGCATGCATGTAGTGTATATGATATGTACAGTATGAAGTGTGGTGTGTACATGTATGTAGTGTGTGTGGTGTGTATGTTCATGTGGTTTGTATTGTATGTACACACATGTGGTGCATATGACACATATATGCATGTAGTGTATGTTATGTGTGCATGCATGTAGTGTGTTGTGTACATGTATGTGATGCATATGTTATGTGTATGTGTGCAGTATATGATATGTATGTGCATGTGGTGTATATGGTATGTGCATGTATGTAATGTGTGTGATGTGTACATATATGCAGTGTGTGTGTGATATGTATAAGTATGTAGTGTGTATGACAGTGTATTATGGTGTGTGTGTTATAGTATGGTATGCTCACAGAGAGACCGGGTGTTAATTTAAAAAAAGGGATGATGGCAGTCTAAAATAGAAGCATGATGGATATGTACAAAGGAACAGACAAATAAAAACAACAGGGTTTATAATGTCAAATTGAGTAGGAGCAAAAGTTATGAACTAACATTTCCAGCTTAGATGACCAGTTTTACAGAAGAGGCAGCAATTTGAAGGGCAGAGAAAGTGATTTTTTTTTTCCTGAAGATGATGAATTTAAGGGATCTGTGGCATGATGAAAGGTCCCTAGATGGTACAAATGGGCTTTAACACATGGAGTCGCCACAAGGTAAAGTTACCTCGACAGATTTTGGTGTTTTTATGTGTGTGGCATGGTGAATGTGTAGCTGATAAGTGGTTTTGTCTCTGAAGCATGAGGTAATGTTTGACCTGGAGATGGTACCCGTGAGAATTGCCTTCATCCTGTGGTGAGAATGATCCAGGGAACCTGCTTCACCAGCTTAGGGTTCAATGTGGAAATAAGCAAAGACCAGCCAGATGGGAACAAAGCAGAGGCTATTTATTGAGAGGGTGTCAGCCGCTTGCATTTGGCAGACACACAGAGACAGAAAAGAAAAGAAACCAGATGCCGTCAAGTCGATTCTGAATCTTGGTGACCCTATGTATGTAAGAGTAGAAAGAACTGCGCCCCACAAAGTTTCTTTGGTAGTGACCTTTCAGAAGCAGATTGCCAGATCTCTCCTCAGCTTGGTTTGGGGATCATATTTGGCTTTCTTTGGTGGGACCTCAGTTAGAAGGGACTGGACTGGACATCACTGGTGAAGTCGTGACCATTCTGGGCCCACTGCTTTGGAGGCTGTGGTTGGCCTCCTGGTCGGGGGCTACAGATTCAGTGTCAGAGCTCTCTTGTCACATATGGTCTGGTCATTGTCCATTTATATATTCAGCCCCTCACAACACATTCACTTTTCTTAGCATTGAGACTAGTTACTCCGATCAATGAGAAGCTTGATAATACTTTACAGCTTCTCCCCACTCCCTGCTCCCAAATCATCTATGCATCCCACGACTGTACTCACTACAGAGAGGCTAGCTCTGCTTCCAGACTCCTCTTGAAGCCACGCTTCTCGGCCACAGCTGCACAGTTGAAGGCATGGTGGTTGAATGGTAGAATTCTTCCCTTCTGTGCCAGAGACCAGGGTTTGATTCCCGGGTGGTGCGCCTCCTGCAAAGCCATCACTGTCTGTGGAAACACTGTGTTGCTATGATGCAAGGCAGGTTTCAGCAGAGCTCCCACATTAAGACAGCTACAGATGAAAGGTCTGGCAGTGTATATCCGATGTGTTCACTGACCAGAAATCACAAGAGTCTGCTCTACAGCTGATCATGGGGATGGCACAAAGCCTGGCACCACTTGGCTCTGTTATGGTTGGGGCCACCAAAAGTCAGGGGCCTACTCGATAGCAGCTATCAACAACAAAAACAACAGTGGATCTTTTAAAAGATCCCTTTGTCAGTGAGTCCAACATGCACTCAGAGTTGAGATACCCCCCACCCCTCTCCAAGCTTCCCTCAGCGTGCTTCCAGACTGGTCTTCACAGACCCTCCCTCCTCTGTAAGCCTAGGTTGACGCCTTACTTTAGAGAAAAATCTAGCACTCCCATGTTTTCCCGACCCTTACCACCAGCTTCCAGATGGCTCACATCCCCTGGACATGAGCCTGTGTCCTGCTTCTGCCCATGAATGCACTCTACCCCTGACCCTGGTGGTGTTAGAAAATGCCATCTCGGGGGCCACCTGGCTTGCCTTCCCCAGTGCTCTTGGACAGTTTGTTTGTCTGTTTACATAGTTCCCTGGTGCCAACTGTAACAGTACAAGCCATCCTGTGTTGTTTGTACCCACCTGTCTCTGCTCCCCCAGGCTGTCTGTGCCACATTCACAGCCATTATCTCTGACCTGGGAGGTGCTGTACAGCAGGTGCTCAGTAAATATGCCTATCAGGAACACTGGAGACAAAGTGCTTAAGGCACTCAGCTCCTAACCAAATGGTCAGTGATTAGAAGCTACCAGTCTCTCTATAGGAGAAAGATGCAGCCGACTTGGGAACCTCATGAGCAGTTCCATTCTGTCCTAGAGAGTTGCTATGAGTTCAAATCGATTATATGGCAAGGGTTAACTGCTCATTAGCTGAATGTACATAGGAGAGTCAACATAACTGCACTTTTCATGAAAACCTTTTCAAAATATCTGACCTTCCTATGTTAGCTTGCCTGGTAGTTGATTAACCTGTATATTATTATTGTTGTTAAGTGCTGTTGAGTCAGTTCCAACTCATAGCCACTGTGGATAGAGTTTCTGAGGCTTTTAAATCTTTACGGGTGCAGAAAGCCTCATAGTTCTTCTATGAAGTGGCTGGTGTGCTCGAACCACCAACCTTGTAGTTCACAGTCCAGTATTTATATATCTTTGCTCAAATAAACATTGTTACGTTTTTAACTAACTCCGAAAAGGAAATTGCTAACCTGTCTCCAGGATTACTCTTTCTCTGGTTTTCCTCTCTGAGTTGATGCAGAAGAATCCCAAACCAAAAAAAGGAAATTCATCACTAACAAGTCAATGCCAACGCACAGTGACCCTACAGGACAAAGTAGAACTGCCCCATAGGGTTTCCAGCGCTGTCATCTTCATGCAGGCACTTGGCCCACATGTTTTTCTGCAAGGAGCAGTTAGTGGATTTGAATATCTGGCCTTTTCAGTTAGTAGCTAAGCACTTAACCTCTGCACCACCAGAGTTCCTTAAAGGAACCACGCACAGATTTTAAAATGTTGTGAAGTGCTGTCAAGTCAGTGCCGACTCATAACGACTAGGGTTTTCAGGGAGCGGCTGGTGGGTTTGAGCCACTGAACTTGGGGTTAACAGTCCAATGCTTATCTTAGAGCACCACACCAGGACTCTGGTTAAAAAATAAGGTATCATGAGAGTGCAGTCAAATGATTTGCTTTCACTGTGTTTAATTATGTGAACTTTTTCGATCACCTTTGCTTTGCTTTCTTCCTCTTTCCATGAATATTCATGTATCTCCTAATTCAGTAGAATTTTTTTTGTTTACATTTTCATTACAGAGTTCTTCAGGGAACATTTCGTTGTATTGTTGCAGCATTTTTGATCTTCCAAGGTAGGACTGAATAAATATTACATGGTCAGTTTTTAAAATGTAAACTCTTTAGAAATATTGCTGTGATGGGTCTTTTCATTCATTGCTCATCCATTTGCAGTAGCACCCACAAAGCATTAATTTGTATCTTTATCCAGCAGTTATTTTCTCTACAGCCTAGATACCTCCACATTTACTGTCTTTGTCCTGGGACAGCTCCCAAACTCTGGGCACTCTTGGACTGATAGTCTGATAGTCAAAGGTGGACTGACACAGTCAGTGGCTGCAGCAATGAGCTTACATGTAACAATTGTGAGGATGATGCAGGATGGGGCACTATTTCATTCTATTATACATCAGGTTGCTGTGAGTTGGAACCAACTCAATGACGCCTAACTACAGGAGTCCCTGGGTGGCACAAATGGTGAAGCCCTCCATTACTAACCAAGCATTAACAGTTCAGAAAACCAACCTAGAGACTCCTAAGAAGAAATGTCAGGCAATCTGCTCCTGAAACTATAGATTTTATTCTGCAACACATGGGGTTGCCGTGAGTTAGAATTGAGTGGATAGCAGTGGGTTTGGATTTTGAATTTTATTAGGACCTCAGGCAGGTAAGGAAGAGGAGGTGGAAGTAAGGCAGTCTAGGCCACCTTGCAGCTGAGCCTGAATAGGAATAAATGGTTAGTCTCTGGTGCATGAGCTGGGAGCAGAACTGTCACCTACTGCCCTTTGTTCTTCCTTCATTTCTCCAAGTCATAGCAGGGGGGAAGCTGCTGTCACTGGCCTCTAACACTAGGAGAAGACAGCTTCCCACACTCACATCAACATATCCCTACGGACTAGAAGGAAGAGCGGTTGGATCCCAATTTCTTGACAAGTGTGGCAAAGCATCCGTGTATCCATGGGAAACATTATTCATCTCGTCAGAGATTTTATTTCTCTTATATAAAATCTTGCTTCTTTTTTTTTCCTTTTCTCTCTGGTAGAGCAAATATTGGCCTATTTGACCGGATTTGGGATAGAGGAGCATTGGTCGCTATTAATCCATGCGATCAACAACGGTTCGTATTTGGTTTCTTTAATTACGTTAATTTTCTTTTTGTAGCCTTCTTTATTAAATATGCTAGGCTTTTTCTGGGTTCCAGAAAAGTGGCTAGATTTTTACCAGTTTGAACTAGCTTACTGGGTTTGAATTTTGAAGACCTAAATCCAATACCAGTTTTGCCTAGAAAGTATACAATTTTGTCACAGAGGACCTGGGATCAAGATTTGGGGTTCTTGTTACTTTCTAACTATGTGACCTTGGTCAGAAAACTCCAAATTCTCTGTATCTCAGTTTACTTCTCTGCAAAATGGGGCTATCTCTACCACCGCTGTTTAACCAGGTAACACATGTGCCAGGCATTTTTCCCAAAGTACTATGTAGATCGACACATTTGATTATCATAAGAACTCTATGTGGTATATGCTATTATTGTACCCATTTTGCAAATGAGGAAACTAAAGTAAAAAGACTAAGTCACTTGTCCAAAGTCAGGTCGTTAGTAAAAGACAAAGTTGAGATTGAAACCCAGGAACTTTGGTTTCAGCACCCACACCCATAAATAGACTACCTCAAAGGGTTGTTGTGGGGATTAAAAAAGATGGTGTGTGTGAAAAGCACCTTATCAATTCTAAAGAACTGCCTACATATTGGAGTACTGGTGTTGCACTGCGAGTTAATGCACCGGACTGCAAAGTCTGTTTGAACCGCAAGGTCGGTAGTTCAAGCTCACCTGCTGTTCCTCGGAAACCCTATACAGGGTCGCTATGAATCAGAACTGACTTGATGGCACTTAACAAAATCAAAGTCTACATGTATGTAGCTATTGTGAGAACAACACTTGTCATTGATGTTTTTGGTAACCAGCACTGTGGGATATGCACTGGACTGCAAGGTTGGTGGTTCAAATTAACCAGCTGCTCCTCAGAAACCCCATATAGAGTCGCTATGAGTTGAAACCAACTCATAACACTTAACAACAACAATTAAAAAATTAAATTAAAATAGAAGAAAGCATACTGAGTGGAATGTGACCACCCTTGTGTTTTTCCAATTCAAATATTATCACTCATATATTTGTTTGAATATAGCATGTAAATATTGAGTTATCAGAATTGATGCATTTGGATTATGGTTTCCGAGAAGAATATTAAAGATAACACGGACTGCCAGAAAAACAAATCTGTGTTGGAAGAAATACGAGCACAAATGCTCCTTAAAAGCAGGATAGGAAGACTTCGTCTTCCATATTTCAGACATATTATCAGAAGGGACCAGACCCTGGCGAAGGTCTTTGTGCTTGGTAAAGTGGAGGGTCAGCAAAAAAGAGGAAGACCCCAAGGAGATGGATTGGCTCAGTGGCAGCGGCAATGAGCTCAAGTGTAACAACAGTTGTGAGGATGGCAGAGGCCTGGGTGGGGCTCCGTTCTGTTGTGCATAAGGTTGCTATGAGTTGGAACCGACTTGACGGGACCTACTGACAACAGCTTATATGGAGTTTTAGCATTGGAATAAAATGCCTATTATTTATGTCCTTACTTTTATTTATTTTTTTGTTTTAAAAAATTGTTTCATGTACACAGTGTATTGGTTTTTTAAAACTAGTCCATGCCCTGTCTTTTCCATGCCACACCACATTTTTACACTAAACTCAGCTATGCCAGATACCTAAGTTGTGCATGTGTTCCATGCTCCTAAGGGACTTTGGTCTGGCAGTAAAATCCTAAGTCCGGCTGCACATAAGTAAGTGGTTACTATTTGCCATCAAGTTGACTCCGACTCACAATGACCTTCGTTATAGAACAAAAACATTGTTGGGTGAAAGGGATTGTGTTTTCACCTCTTACACAAGCTGAGCCGCAGGAGCTGTCCCAGTCAACCAGGATACTTGGCTAAATGCAGCATCCCAAGGCCCACAGCAAATCTGCAACAGATTTGCAGTAGATTTGTAGGAGGGAGTTCCAGCATCCTTACTGGTAGGAAGTGTCCAGGTGACTGACACGCAGCCAGGCCTGGGAGCCAGTAACCTGGAGCACAAGGAAGCAGCGCAGTTCACATGCTCACATCAGCGCAACTAGGAGCTTCTGCTCACCTGCAAGTGATGTCTTTGGGTCTGATGTAGTGGTGAGAGCTTGGGCTCTGGAAGGGGATCTGAGTTTGATTTCTCATTTTTGCCATTTCCCAGCTGTATGACTGGGCAGGGGGATATGATTTGCTGAACTCATTTCTCTTTTAGAATGAAAATTGCCTTCATGAGGGATCTAGGGAGTAAGAGTCAGTAATGTAAATGAAAGTAAATGTTGGGAGCCTTCCTTGCCTGTGGTGTGTATAGAAAAACATCTACTTTTGTTGTGTTCTTTTTAGCTATGCTGACATCATGCTGTCCCTAACAAGAAAAGGGTTTCGTTACTTCTTGTCTGTTTTGTCTTATGATCCAACTAAACATTTAGGTAAGGTGGGTTTTTTTTCTCTTTCTAGATGCCTCTTTTTAAAATGATGATATAATTATATGACAAAAAAAAAAAGTATTATTTTCTATGAATATGTTTACAAGTAGGAAGGGCCCTCCTTGCTTGTATACATGAAAATAATTCTGGTTTTAGTTAAAGGGAATTTATCTTAGTTGTCTAGTACGGCTATAAAAGAAATATCACAAATGGATTGCCAAACAGAAATTTATTTTCTGAGCATTTAGGAAGAAGCTAGAAGTCTGAATTCAGGGCAGCGGTTCTGGGGAAAGGTTTCTCTCTCTGCTGGCCCTGGAGGAAGGTCATTTCCTCTTTGCAGCTTCTCTGCCTTGGCTCCTTCAAGATCTCCTATTGGCATCGATCTCCCCCCATCTGCTTAATCTGATCTTTTTATATTTCAAAAGTGATTAGCTTATCAGAATTATATTTTGAAAGACAAAGACCCGGCTAACTGATCATAAAGAGACTGGAGGAGCCCGAGACTATGGCTCCAGACCACACTTGTGGTCTGGAATAGAACTCACCCTTCTGACTCTATTTTCAGCCAAGCCATAGATAGGTATATAGGAGGGACAACTGTAGTAAGCTAGGCTCACCATGGAATGGTCAGTCATTCAACATCAAAAGGACAACATTGACTTGAGTAGGGATGAGGAGGAGGGTGGAAGGGAACTAGGAATCACAGGGAGGAAGTGAGATTGTTGTTGTATGGAGGGGCTTGCCATCATTGCGATGAAATGAAGTATGATTTGTTGAATTGTGGGACTGAGAAACTGCTCTATGAACTCAATTTACAATAAGAACTTAAAAAAAAAAAAAGAGTGGTTGGCTTAAGTGTGGTGCCGTAGGGTAAGCACTCAACCACAAGGTCAGTTTGAATCACAAGTTTGGAAGTTCAAACTTACCAGCTGCTCCTTAGAAACCCTATACAGGGTCGCTAGGAGTTGGAACTGACTTGATAGCACTTAATGACAACTCATTGCTATGGTTTTATTAACATAACACAGAAAGCCTCAATGCCACAGGGGATTGCATCGACCTGCATAGCAGTCAGGATTTGAACTGCGTATTTTGGGGGACATACAATTCAGTCCATAACAGGGAACACTGAAAGTTTTCTCTGCCACGTTTTTCTTGCATCCCGCTCCCCTTTAGCTCACCATCCCAGCTCAGATGATAGAAGAAGGGGAAATGACTGGTGGCACTATAGGATAAGCACACAACTGCTAAGCACAAGCCTGTGGCTCAGACCCATCAGCCATCAGCCACTAAAGATTTACAGTCCCAACTCTGTAAAAGGTTCCTATGAGTCGGAATCCATGCCACGGCAGTCGGTTTTGTTTGTGGTTTTAATGTAACAGGAAGGAGCTCTCTCATCACGCAACCATTGAGTGTTCGGCTGTAAGCTGAAAGTTTGGTGGTTTGAGCCCACCCAACAGCTCTGCAGGAGAGAAGTCCTGATGGTCTGCTTTATATGAAGATGTATTGTTGTTAAGTGCCATTGAGTCAGTTCTGAGTTATAACGACCCTGTTTAGGGTTTCTGAGTTTAAACTGACAACCTTCTGGTTAAAACAGACCTTGTGGTCCAGTGCTTATACTATAATGCCACACCAGGCCTGCTTTGAAAAGATTGCAGGCTAGAAAACCTCATGGCGCAGTTCTACTTTGGCACATAGGATCTATGGTACCTAAAGGATACCAAAACTATAAGAGAAACTACACGTGAGTACAGAACAAGGAGGAAGGAGCCCTAGTAGGGATATAACATATCCATATTAGTGTAGTGGTTACAAATCGGGCTGTGTACCTCAAAGTCAGCAGTTCAAAACTACCAGCTGTTCTGCAGGGGAAAGATGAGGCTTTCTGCTCCCGTAAAGATTTACAGCCTCGGAAGTCCTGTACACAGTTGCTATGAGTCGGAACCAACTCCACGGCACATAACCACCACCACCATATTATCGCAGGTGATGTGGTGTGTTGGGAAATGTCTGTGTACACACACAGACACACCCTCACAGGAGGATGGGTAAACAAAAGTGGATATTGGGGACGGGGAGAGACAGGCATGCAGGAAATCTCTAAACAGTTAACTGTTTTTTAATATCTAAGATATTCTTTGCATTCCTTTATTACTATCTTTGCTGTGAATTTGTAAAGGGAGGATGTTTTTGTCTCACCTCATTTAGGTGTGGTTGAACATGGGCTTTTGTTTCCAGGAAGAGATGAAAACAAAATGCATAGGTCTCTTATCTGTAAAAAAATCCTGTTTCCCTTTTTAATTGAGCCTTTCTAAAGATTGTCTGGAGTCCTGGTGTGGCGCTGTGGGCTAATGCGTTAGACTGCAGTCATTTGAACTGCAAGGTCGGTGGTTCAAGTTCACCAGCTGCTCCTTGAAAACCCTATACAGAATTGCTGTGGGTTGGAACCGACTCGAAGTCAGTTAACAACAACGAAGATTGTCTTGTTTTTAAAAATTTACATCGTGTTTTTTTTTTTTTGAATAAATCAAATCTTTAAGAACTCATTAAAAATGAGATTTAGTGTTTAGTAATCAATTCTGAGACAATTGAATGGAAATAGGGATTAATAGAGATGAAAGTTAGCTTTGCTAATCTGATTTAAATTCCACTGGTGAACAGGAGGCCTAAGGGCTTGTTAGAAGAAAGCACAGCAGGTTCGGAGGTGGAAGCTGAACCCTTAACATTAAAGTAGGATATTTCAGTTGTGGTGCTGTAGGATCAGCACTGGACTACTAACCACAAGGTTTGTGGTTCAAACCTACCAAATGATCCTTGGAAACCCTATCCAGGGTAGCTTTGAGTCAGAACCAACTTGACAGTGCTTAACAACAACATAAAGTATGTGGTACTATAGAATAAACACTTGACAC